GACGTTAGCGATATTTCTAGCACCCCAGCGCTGAAATGTACTTCCGTGTTGGTCGTCGCACAATTCAATGCTCCCCCAGAGGCGACGGCACGATATTTTGTATGGAGGGGCGAGATATGTTCATCACCATACTAGGCGAATCCAGTGGCATACTCCCTCTTAACAATTTTGAAATCTAGACCCTCTCAAACGCTATTTTCAGTATTTGAGGAGCAAATTGTGCTGACAAAAAGGGTTTCAGTTTGATTTTCGAGGAGGCGACGCCCCCCCACATTTTTAACCCTCCCCCGTGCCGCCGCCATTGACTGTAACTCAAATTTACGCTTGACAATCTACTCGACTTGAAAAATTACGTAGTTCTAAAAGTACGCTAACCTTAGATAGCAAACGGCTTTGTTTCAGCATTTACTACGAAATTACCTTCGGAGAAATTACTCTTTCATAGTTCCAAACTGCAACCGTTTATTAGATTCGTTGTTCTTAAAATGTCCCCTTACGAAGTACTTTTTATTGTTCCAATCAATACTATTTTACTACTGGAGGACTGTTTTTTTTAAAACGAGGTTGTTTCAAGTGAAAAGCACAGAGTTGACAGAATACAAACGCTGATTTGTGCTGTATGTCTGATTGCCGGTCGACAACACTTTCGGGTTCATGACTGAGCCACTGCAGAGAGCAATGTTGTTTGGCATTGTTTGCGTCATTCTGAAAAGACTTTCGTCATGCACTTTGAACTCCAAATAACCAAGGATTGCAATTTGCTTACGACTTCCTCTTTAAATGAATAGACTATTTGTTTGAATTCTAACGCACGAATTTGCCAACAGACCGCCGAGCCGTGTGCACACTCTACTGAATGAGCTAAGGGGTCTAGAACCTTGCGTCCATGGGTCAAATGTGCCTTTAACTACTGTAAGCGTTGTCGTAGCGTCCTTTACGGTTTCACTGGATTCATTGTCAACAATAAAATCACTGTATATGCAGTCCAGTGAGACTTTAAGAACTTGTTACCATGACATTAGTCAGTGTGCTATTTAGCACACCTGGCACCCAGTCATCAGTCGAAAAGTAGCAGTTATATGGTGTGACGTCCTACCCGTCGCGTCCAGAATCAACCTGTAGTGTTCCCATGTATGCTTACACAAGCCAGTTACTTCGCGAAGAGTAATTACACGTGCTCGCTCCAAGGACAACAGAACTTGTAAACCACACTTCATGACCATGCTACACTCAAATTTACATATTAATATATTGTTCACCAGACAGAGTAGTTGACCCTACACACTGTACATAACCATCCATATGCAAATGCAGGCTTACACATGTTCTTTTATATTTGCGTATCTGTATTACTGACATTATTCAGTTCATTATTCATGCATATACAACTAGAGTGCATACTTTGAGGTATCTTCGTAACACTTTATTATTATACATTTTTTTCTTTCAAGGATACATCATAGGAATGCCGAAATCCAAAATGTTTAGAACAAAATCAGCAAACTTCTTTATGTGGAGTCCGGTCAAACCCTGGTGGCAAGCCACGTTTGTTTTTATTATTAGATATCGCGCTTACGCGCGAAATCATACCATATTTGTAATTCGCATTTCCTATTATGGTAGGATGAAAATACCCCGAAAATACCGCACAATTACGGTACGCTGTAACTTATGGCGTTACGGTGACAGATATACTATATCACACAGCTTACACGAATTCTAAACAATATTAGGTTCAAGTAATCTTTCATGGAGTAATATCGTTATGTCTTACCATACAATAAGTTTGTACTAATTTAAACGAATTTTACTGAAAAAGTGAATTCAAGTTATCGATATGAATCAACAATTTATTCTGCCAATATTCAAATGACCTTGTATATGTTTGCTTGTTGTTTGTTAGAGCTGCTTCTACTTCTTCCACTTTACATTTTCATTGTCACTTCTCATATCCTCGGGTCATTCATTAATATTCCGTGATGCTATTTGTCCTTTCATTTGACGGTTTGAATTGCATATTGTTCGCATATCGAAACAGTGGATTGTCACTATCTGAAACGGGTTTCAGCATTTTATTGCCATATCATTCACGTGGGCAAACGACACCCAGTTTTAGATAATCGTTTTTTGCTCAGTTTAAAATCTCAACATTCTCTCAAATAATGTTTATATTTAGATGGCGTATCATCCTAGCAGCGTCTCACGTAACAAACGATACAAAGACCGTGTTTATGGCACAATCTACGGAGCATGCATTGGCAATGCTATAGGAACATTGACTGAGGACATGAAAAAGTGCCATTTGAATCATGTAAGTATTTCAAAATCAGTCAGACACTCAAAAAACAAATAAATTATACAGTCATCAGTGTTCTCCCTATTGTTTCTTGACTCATTTGAATGTAATTTGCATACTAATTAACATAATGTACAGTTATATTTTTTAAATAAATGAGATTTACTGTATACAGTGAAACACATTAGTGGATTAAAATGGGAATATTGCAAAACATATATTAGCCAATATTGTTAATTGCTTACAACTATCTAAAATTCGTATCTGTAGTTTTGAAGAAACAAACCTCATTATAATTACCACTGCTAAAAGAATCTATACAGTACATGTTACTGAATGCGAGAACTAGGTCATACTCTGGGCTGTTTTGTCGGCCCAATTATCTTCCAGAAATATCCATCCAAATATTTACAATCATATATTAGAGAAGCGCTACGTACATTTCGTGGAGGAATGACAGGATCAGGCTGCAGAATACATGATAGCGACTTGATGTTTGTAGTTGTGCAATCTATTACTGAATGCAATGGACAGGTATGCATATACTTTACATAATAAGGTGGCTCTGTTCAAGATATTACATGTGACATGTCACATATGTATTCAATGCTTATCGTTATTTCAATTATTGCCTTAGAAGCCATTATGCAAACATCGAGGCAGTGTATTTTTGTCAAAGAGGTTGGCATCAGTAGGGACGCCTGCGGGAAAATACAAATGTCACAAAACTCGAAGCGCATGCCATTCAGTCTCCATTTCTTAACAGATTGATGCAAAGGATCTTATCGACAGATTACGTCTTCTCGACAGACATTGTATAGGACGCACTACACATAAAGTGATTAACCATCGCTTGGCCAGCATAGACCCACATCTTGTGAGTAGTGTATACCACAAATAATGTTTATACATGGTTAGAAACGTCATAATGCGCATGAATAAGCAAATATGCCATGATGAATGTTATGCTAGATATTTAACGACAATTATATCATGATATTATTTGAAAGGCTGCAATCGAAGTTTGGAAAGACAGTGGTAAAGCATCAGCACCAAATGGAGCAGTTGTACGCACATCTGTGGTTGGTATCCACCAGTGTAACGACATTCAGGAAGTAATTAAGAACACCATCAATATTTGCAAAATGACACATGCTGACCCACGGTAAGCTAAGTGTAAGGATCAAATCTTGATATTAATTTGTATGTATACTGCACGTACTGAGCCTTGATCTTTGAAAGTTCCGTAAACACATTAATTATAGCAAACTAGATCTCGAATGTTGAATAAACAACAAATGAAATAAATTGCCTCTTAATGTAGCAGGAGCGTTATGTATACTGATATTAGTTGCTGGAATGTCCCATAAACTTATAAACAAGACATCATTAAGCAAAATATGTTGTTGTTCTTTGTCCTCTTGCAGATGTGTTGCTTCTTGTATTGCCGTGACAACAGGTATTGCACTGATGCTACAAGGCAACGAGTACTTCAAAATCAATGAAACATGCTTTGATCATGCCAGAAAATACCTTGCATCACAAAAACAGGTATTTATTGCATTTTAAATCAAAACAAAGTGTTCATTCAGCTTATTAAGGACACGTTATCGTTCGAGGTGTAGTACATTTATACTTACTAACCAATGTGCATTGAGTCGTTTGCTGGCCATAAATGCACCGGATATTATGTAGCCGTTTTTCGACGGTCAAGGTAGTTTGAATTAATCAATTTCCTCACAATTGCTCAACAATAAATGTCAGCTCACAAACGATCACAAATTGCGATTAGCATAAGTAATGTACATTATCATGTCATCTTGTAAACATGTATGTCGACGACAATAGGGAACTGCATATATTATTGCCTGCCGGTACATATAATGTATAAACTATTTATATTGCAGGACAGGGAAATGTATAGCTACATGAATGTCGCAAATTGTAGAGATCTACACTTAGACGACGAAGGTTCTAGTTATACTTTCAAGTGTGTTGGAGCAGGTTTTTGGGCTTTGAGACAGAACGATTTCAGAGAAACGTTGATTACGATTGTTAAGGAGGTACAGATTCATCTGTTAAATATTTGTCGATTTTATTTTTTGACTATCAAATTGCCGATACAATAATATATTAAAATATGCATATACCCACCAGGGTCAACTGCAGTATACACTTATACGGGTGACTAATTGCCCACTAAAGCACACTGTTCTGCACGCCACTATATTACATAATATAATGGTAAGACACTTGAAATGAAATGTTGCAAAAAATCAAAACTTTTGATCAAAACCTACGACAGATGTCTCATTGTGTCTGTTTGGTTCAAAACACGGATTTAATTCAGTGAAAACTGCAAAAAATTGCAAATTTACTCAAATTGAAAAGGTTAGTTTAACGTTGTTTGCAATGGAACATTGGTTACTTAATCATCTAACCTTATATTACTTATATTTGAATCCACAGGGAGGTGACGCTGATTCTAATGGAGCTGTAGCTGGTGCGCTATTGGGATGTAAATTAGGGTACTCTGGATTACCACAAGACTGGTTAGAGGACCTTCTGCTCGAAAGCAAATTATTGTTGTATATTGAGAGGTAAACACAGACAAAACATCAACATATCTAAATTCGAGTTTATACTTCAAATTACGAATTGAGAAAGAAGGATAATTTATGTTGTTTTTCACAAGACAGTGAACAAAACAAAAAATATATAACAATTTTCAAATAAAAAGTACAAATTGACACATGATTTATGCATGCACTATCGAAGACAGTCAGAGTATAACAAGTTTGTTCAAGATATATACTCAGAGTATCTGTATCAATTAAAAAATTTCACAATCCAACAGCATTTTTGGATAATTTTATTGTTATAGATTTATAAACATAGGCATTCCAGGAATAACAAGTCAGAGGTATAAACCCAAAGAAACGTATCATGCGTCATCGTTAGCAAGCTGTTTGAACTACAGTGGTAATCAAAGTATACCCTTAGGACAGAAAAAGACATGTCTACCCCATAGAGGGGTTCATGGTTCTGATGTTGATAGAGTTGCCACACATACATTTGCAGCAAACAAGTCTTTACTACCACGGGAAATCTTGTTAGACAACATTCTAGGGACAATCTACGGCAACTGCATAGGAGATGCCATTGGTCTTTTAACGGAATATATGGATAAGCATGAAGCAAGACATGTAAGCACCAACGTATGAATAACAGATTCGGATATTTTAGATTTAGTATTTCTTTAAATAGATATACAATATAGAGACATACGGCAACATGATTTCTTTCCTGTATTTACATGAAATGTTTAAATATTGCTCCTTTAGTGGTCTATAGTGATTTTCATACCCCCGCCGTCTATCTGCATTCACATTGCGTTCTCCTTAGAGCGTTCTTGGTCAACACCGACGTGGCACGCATAGAATGTTCACAAGGTAGAACGCGCCGCAGCAATCCCGGATGCGACGTTTCAGAGGCGACTTTGTCGTATATATTTGCTTCATTCAAAGAATGTCCTCAACATCAAAACGGCGTTGTTCCACTGTCTAGTTTAGAATGCTAAACTTTTTTTAAAACCTTGAAAGCAACAGCAGCCGGGACAGTGTTGTTAAGTTAAATTATTGATGCTTAGAATGAATATGAAGAAGTTTCAGTGACTTCCATGTGATATACCATGTAATGTCCGCTTGGTGGACTGAATAAGTTTCAACCAATCACAGCATGCCTAACAACAATGAGATGTGGTAAATCATGATGTTTATCATACATGTATATATACATGATTGCAGTTTTACCGTGATGCAGAACTGGAATACCAATTGAAGGAAAGGGTAGACAAGCATAAAGACCACCAGCGCAGATGGAAGGTAGGCGATTGGACCGACGATAGCGATCAGATGATTTTGATATTACAATCACTGGTAGATAATAGTGGACAGGCAAGTTTTTTTATAGATATTTTACACTGTCTGATATTGACCGACAGATACGAAGATTACCATATGACGAATATTGACGAGATAGTTTGCGAGAGCTAATAATGTATAACAAATTCAAATGACGTCTTGTCCACCACCGGAATCAACGAACGCCAACGGGAATATCACAAGGCTGTTTGGAATATTTGAGATTTTATGACGTCATAGTTGGAAATTATTACACAAGTAAATTCATGTCAATAGAAAGACCTGATAACATTATTTGATGGCTTGTGGGACAGAATGAAACCCCTGACAACTTTCCTTGTATTTTTTGATATATATATACACATATTCTTCCTATTTTGACCACGGTTTGTTCTTGTACATGGTATGCAAACTATTTTCTTTGTAGTTGGGTATTAATAATACCATTTCTTTATAGGTTAATCCGACAGACTTTGCGTACAAACTCTTAAATTGGACGACAAATGGATTTCGTGATCTTGGTGACACAGGAGGCCTTGTCATAGGTACCACAACATACAAAGTACTTAGTCATTCAGTGTTTCGCAATAACCCAAAACAGGTAAACCACTTCAATTGAACAATTTTACTTTATCTTTTTTATATGTCGTGAACGAATCTTCCAGATTATAGTCAGAATAGACTCCATTCTGGTATAAGTTTGTATAACCATACAACACAAACATCACTTATTTTCGTAGGCAGCTCGTGAGGTGTGGAGTTCTAGTGGTGGATACTTGGCACCAAATGGAGCAGTGATGAGAACATCAATACTTGGTATTCATCAGTTTGAAGATATTGAAATGGTCAAAGAGAACACGGTGAAAATATGTGAAACAACCCATGCTGATCCAAGGTAAGGAGATAATAGTTTCACCAGATTTAAATTCGGTAAAAAATAGTGGTTGTATATCTTAGTTGTTCGTATTAATTACAGGTGCATTGCATCCTGTGTTGCTGTGACGACGGCTATTGCTTTGATGTTACAAGGAAAACATTTACGGCACTGCGGAGAATACGATGTGGAAATGATTGTGAAAGACAGTTTTAGACATGCAAAGGGTTACTTGAAAAATTACTCGTATGTAAGTATGTATAGCAAAACAATACATGTATGCCCGTTTGCACTTTATAAATTTTGCATCCTGTCTGTATTTATTTACCTAAATAAAGATAAAACTGAATATAAATTTCAGATTGATGAGTTACAACGTTACATGAACACATATGATATTAGAAGCTTGAGGCTAGATGAGCCTGGAAAGATCGGTTACACGTACAAATGCTTAGGGGCTGGTTTCTGGGCCTTGCGACAGACAGATTTCAGACGTGCTTTGACTAGTATTGTAAAAGAGGTAAGTGACATTATGTACTTCATCCTTTTAACTCGGTCAATATGCATTTTGTTCGATATCAGAATAAGCAAGACTTAGGTTTTAAAATGGAATTGTATCAAAGATTAGATGGTTTTGATATGGCAGAGCGGGTTATTATCCAGCTTGATCAACAATATTTCCAGTATTAGGGTAGCTGATGAACCTTCATTTTGGAGACGTTCAACACTGTGATGATGCTATTTACTATTTTATTTTAAAAACCAGAAAAATCATTTTTTACTCATTGGTCTTTTACTCGTGTGTAAAATTGTCCTGATTTTCAGGTAGATATTGTCGTCTACGGGGAGTTAAAGTGTGAATTCTACAGTTGAAAATGTTTGAAAACATGCTATTGATGTATTTGAACTATCATTTGTATATCTGTGCTCATTGTAAGAAACAGAATCTCGTCTCTGTCAAGCCATGCGCGTTGTAAAAGGCGTTAAAACGAATTCAAACACAAAAAGTCACAATCATTGACCATTGGATTGGCGGTATAATCACAGTTATTTGATATTTACTGTATATTTTCCACAATTGCGCAGATTCGGACCATAAACTATGGTACATAGTATAACTGTTTACATACATTGTAGTCTTGTTCTTTCTACAGGCAGGTGATGCAGACACCAATGGAGCAGTAGCCGGGGCATTATTAGGTTGCAAGCTTGGTTACAACAAATTACCAAGATCATGGAAGGAGAACTTGAGATACAAACAGTGGTTACAGTTAAAGATTAATAGGTTCGAATAAAGAATTATGTAACCAACGTTCATGTATTTCTTAAATTATTTAAGTTTTGTTCTATCATTGACAACCAATTACGATTCAATTTGTCACATTGAGCTCATCGTATTAACAATAGACCGCTTTGATTTTAACTCTGCAAATTATTGTGTTTGTCTTGGTTTTGTGCAAGATAGAAATACCTTATATAGAACTCGATTGATCTATTACTGCAAATCATATAGCGGTTTATTCATCATATCTACAGTTATTTTCCCTAACATAAATAATTAATGCAGAAAAATAGTACTCACTGAATACATATTATGAATATGACTGTAACACACGTTTTTCTTCAGTTTTCTAGATATGGAAAGAATTTCCGAAAACTCATCGCATGCGCCATCAACGTGTGATTGGAAGTCAGATTTAACACCGCCGGTGGGAGGAGTATCTGCCTTTACTCGCACACGTGATACGATATTGTCATCTACAACTGATAATCGACACCCACGATCGCAATCACAATCAGAGTTATCATCGTGGCATCGTTTTTACCAAAACTGACTATTGTCAAATTAAGCAATACACTATGTCGATGGCGATGTGGGAAGCTCTTTTACGCGTATTTAATTAGATAAATGAGTTTTGCGTATCACACAGATTTAAATGTTCATTTGTTGTTACTCTTATGTCACATTAATTGCAAAGCAGTTCTTCTGTTATTAACTGTGTAGACAATGGGAAGCGATAGAAACAAATTCCTGTTTGATGTACAGTTTGTATATTTAGTCTACTAAATAATGCAATGAATCATGAGTAGCATTGCAGCATCATAGGTGACGTCACCTGATCATTGGAAGCAGAGTTAAAGCTGTATTCATATATTGGTAGAGGTAACCACTGTATTGATTGGTCGTTTTCTTTTTGGATGATATTTAGCAACCGAAATAATATATAGGCGTTGCGTGTTTTAAGTACTGAGGGAGGTCGAAATACATGTAGTAAAAAGATTTAAACAATTACCACTATCGAAACTTACACAAGTAATTAAGTATCAGGCAACTGCAATTAATGACATGCACACAAGTACTGTACCTTCGATTACCTACATATGCGTATAGTTATATATATCATACATTTGAATTGCAGTCTTGTTTATTCAATTTACTACTAGTTTATGGTTTGTGCATTTATTTATATACTGTTTTTTATGAATTTAAGCTCAATATTTGTACAAATTATAGCAAATGTTCAGCCTTATTAATAACTAATAATATTGTAATATAGAAAGCATGATTTTATATCTTGGCTTTAATTATAAATATTTCGAGTATTATTAATATAACATATCTTCATGTACACTTTATAATTAATAAAATATTTACTTTTATTACTCAAATGTTATTCAATTATGATTTGAGATATATTTTACATATAAAGAATATACAATACATTACTTCAATTCTATGGGAATTATATACTAGCACTTGTGTGTCGTATATAATCAGAATAATATGTTTACATTTACATGTCATGCAGCAAATCGTTTTTATTTATAAATAATTACTATTTGTTGTTTGTAAATAATAATATATATTCTTGTGTTTCATTTCAATGCAATACAATTAGAATACTTGCATCGAGTGTAAATAACGAAGGGTGAGCATCGAACTGTGTAAATAATTGTGACCGGCGATTATAACCTTATAGATTTGTAAACCATGAACGTTGGTGATCCTTGTGAAATTTTAGATAGAAGGGAGGAAAAGTTATGGTCCAAATTATAAATGTAATGGAAAATT